CCGAGCTCGGCCGACCACACCCTGCATTCAACCAAATGATGTAATTAGCTTATTAGCTCTTCAGGTTGCACACCACGTAGACTAAGTAGTTTTTAGAGTCAACAATATTGGAACACGGTTATGGGATCTTACTATTCTATTCAAATTATAATAGGTAAATTTTTTTAATATGCAATTAAAAATTAAACATATTAATCATAAAGTCATTCATTCTTAATATAACACGTAATACACATAAGAGTTTATAGTACATTTAGTAATGAGTTTGAGTTCCCAATTAACTGTTTGAATCTCTAATTATTATTCCTCGCTGTATCATGTACCATATTAATCATCTCCCTTTGCTTTAGTAATGCAACCTCCAAGTCCAAGTTTATATTCTATTTCAAACCAAACAACAAGGAATGCAAATGGTTCTCGGCCCTCGATCTCTCTCTTTCAAAAATGTTGTTGACTTCCATTTACGACCATCGTGATCGGACCGTTGCATCATGAGGTGGTTCTTCCATTTGTATAGGGGCGTTCTCGTGACCTAGTTCTAATTTAAGAGAAAAACTTATACGAAAGAAGTTTATCGTTAAATTATGTTCCAATTCAATATATAATGTCATGTAAAATACAAACTTACCCATAATATTATATAATTGAACCCTGTTCCCTACATAGTAGCCAAAAGTTGGCAACAAAGAAGGGAACAAAGTCCAAAAACAGTACATAAAATTTCAAATCGAACTTAATTCAAGTGCATTTGTGAGCGACTTCGAAACTATGGTTGCGACATGAACATGATATAACAAACTCATGACTATTTGAATGAGCGATTATCTTACCGATCAGTTTCTTTTTATTAATGGCATGAGAGATTTGAAGTTGGATATAACATTAGAAATAGAAGTGACATTAGATAAATAGCTAGTTGGTATTTTAGGACTACCACTTAGTACTTAAGAGTAGTGTTTGAAATTTCTTCGATATGATAGAAATTTCAATGAGAATCAACATATTTCATTGATATTTTCGACATATCGGCTAAATATTGGGATCGACATATACATGGAGTTGGAACAAGATTGCAGCAGTATGCTAGTTACCGTGGTACGTTAGAATAGAATGACTCTATGTATATATTGAAACCTCGACCGTTGGATCATGCCAATGAATCTTGTATAAGGCTAAGATCAAAATGGGATATGTTTCGCTTTGGCCTTGTGATATACGACTCGTCGCATTTCAGAAGAAGAATGGACGATGTCGTTTCGTACTTTTTGTTCTTTATACTCTGCGCTCCCTCCAAAATTTGAGAGATTTTTTAATGTGATTGGCATACGGAATGGTACACAATGTATTACTATATAAATAGTAAGTTAAAAAAATTAATAACTTAAAAAATAAAATTTATCATCACTTCTATTAAAATATGTAGTATATGACTTGTGTTCCGTTATAATTAAAAGTTTTTTCCCAAAATTGCCCATATATCTCGAGAACTGTTGCCCTCGCTCCCACCAGCGAAGAACCCGCCCATCGGCCAACCGGTTCGCCCGAACCAGGTTGTCGGAAACCCATACAACCGTCATCCCTCCATGGCCTCGACCTCTCGCACTCATGGCGTCACGGGCCGGATCCGAACCGCCACGGCCAATCTCCACGAGGACAACCAGTCTCTTATCTCCGTAAGCTGTTAATTTTTATGCCTTTTTATTTTTGTAGGAAAAAAAATAGCAGTTTATTGTTGTTCTTATGGAAGATTATCTGTGGTTTCAGGATATTGGGAAAGCTTTCAGTTTGATGAAGGAAATTGCAGTCGATTTCGAGAGTGCTAAGCAATTTGAGAAGGTAATGTCCTTAAACGAAAAGTGGTTTTAATTTCTGAAATTTGTAGGTGCTGCTAAAAGCCTGGAACTTTAGCAAAGTTCTGAAATTTTTGAGTAATTTGAAATTTTGGGTTTATCTAATGTTTTGCCATTTGGATATGGTTTGGCTAGAAACTGTTAAGATAAAATGGAATTGTAACTGTGATTAAACTGGCCCATCATAGATCATAGATTGAAGATATGAATTATTTCTCGAGATATGAGAACTCGAAACTGTGACAGGTGAAGGAGCTCGAAAATGCCGTTGTTGAATTGGTGGCTACTTATGAAGACTGTTCACATTTTTCGTCAGCAATTGAATCTGTTGGACATAAATACCAACCTGGGCCTGAGGTGCTAGGAATTTTCTTCTTCATGTATTGTTTCTCATTCAATGACTTTGCTTATTCTTGTTCCGATCTCGATTGACTTATTTGTTGTTTATGGGCCAGCTTACTGATTTCGATAAGTTGTTCAAGAATGAGGTTGCACAGCTGAAGGCAAACTCATCTTCAGTTCCCCAAAACCATCCTCTGATACGTCAATTCCGGGAAGTTGTCTGGGTATGAACTTTTGTACTTTAAATGCACAGAATAAGATTTTGAAAATTTTCGCTGACTTTCGACGATGCTGTTGGACAATACTAAAGTAAGCACAATGAATTAATAAATGCTTCTTATTTTGTTATTAGTAATAAACTTTACCTCGCCTTTCTTATGACAGGCAAATTCAGCTGGAATGATGCTAACTAGTTTAGAAACCAAACAATTGTTAAAAGCACTTTTCTGCCTAACTTAGCAATAGTTTGTCTAATTATTTTATTTCTTGAGTTGAAGGGAATGTTATTTATGTCTATGGCTAAAAGGGTATAAAATTACATTAACTGAGCAAGTAGTTTTCTGGTTAAGCTCTATTCTGACTACTGTTTGCCAATCCTTAGACTAAATGGCCGTTGTAACCTTGGTGCTGCATGCCAGTATATGAGTATAATTGTAACTGCATAGTGTTGGGAGAAGTAAACCACTTATTAGAGTGTAGCAGGTCTTACTTCAAAGAGAATTGATAGTTTTATGTGTATATCTTTTCCCGAATGAATATGATCTGCGGAGATACTGTTTATTGTAGTTTTTCTTATTCTTGTTTAAGGGTAGAAAGACCATTTATGGTGGGCGTGTATGCTGGCCTCTGTTGACAAATAAAGGCTTAAATCCGCTTATGACAATAGGTTATGTTGTATGATAGTTCTGTGATAATATCTTGTTATGACAATTGTTTCTGTGGTATGTATCTCCATGCTTGGGAAGGAATATTAAGTGCTTCATTGGTATCTAAATTATACCTCGTCTGATGCATTTTGAAACTTGTAAGATCAGTCATCTGTGTTGACTGTTGTTAAGGTTACTACATATGTTTGGATTTCAAATCCTTCTTTTGCTGCATGTTTCATTTCTCCGTCATTCTGTACCTCATAATTTTGTCTCATGCTTAATCCTCTTTATATTTTTGTAAACCTGAAGTTAAGGGATGATTGCAATCTTTCTGTTATGAAAATGTACAGTGGAAGTAGTGGAAAGTAAGTTCCTTATGAAAATTATTTGTTCATAGTGTTCTTTGTTTGTTAGGCAAATGTTTATAGTTTAGTGTAACTTTAGCAGTAAATCTGCCGAGGAGCAGAGAAAGTATTGTTTAAATTGAAAGTGTCTGTATCGTACCAAGGAATGGAAGCTATTATTATTGTTAATATTCTACCACGGATGTATGTTATTTACTTGTCTCAAGTTTTTATTTCTGAGTTGGAGTTTTTAATATTTTTCTGCAGAAAGTCCATCACGCAGGAGAACCTATGCCAGGTGAAGAGCAGGAGGACATTGTAATGACGAGCAACCAAAGCACTATTTTGAATGTCACTTGTCCATTAAGTGGAAAGCCTGTCACTGAACTGGAGCATCCAGTTCGCAGGTGATGTATCAGTTTCTTCAGACATTTATCTTTTTCTTTGTTGGGAAAATATGAATTTACGGTCTTTGCTGAATGTTGGTGTGGCATAGACTTCTAGCATTGAGTATTTATGTGTGTTTATGCGTTTCCAGTCCCTTCTTATATTTACTTTAGCTCGTACTAGACTGTTGTAGACCTTTCTAATGTTAAAGTTTTTTCTTGGTGTATTTTCCCCAAATGCAGTGTCGTATGCAAGCATGTTTACGACAAAGGACATATCATGCATTACTTACGGGAAAACAACACACACGATGCCCTGTTGCAGGTATATTTATTTTTTGTTCCCCTACATCAGTTGGACTTATACTTTGGTGAGATTGCTAAACCCCTTTGGTTTTTCCTCCTATCAGCTTGCCCTGCGAAATTGAAGTCAGATAAAGTGAAGGATGATCCACTGTTAGCCGCTGATATTGATGAATTGCGTAAAACGCAGAATCAGAATGTCATGACTGATGTGATGGACGTCACTGAGTTTGAAGAGTGATTGGATGATTTCGGGATGTGAAAAGTTTCTAAATGACATTACAGCTTTAGCTATTTCGACATCTTTTAGGTCGTTGTGAAGTAGTTAGGTATTCTGTAGAATGGTTTTGTATAGAGTGACCTGGTTTTATGATATTGCATATGTAGTACTAGTAGTTGAAAGCACTTGCAGTTCCTTCTCTCTGTTGAATTCTTTTAGACTGCATTTGGACAAGTGCATTAACATGAGGCATTCAGTTGGATTGCCTGATTCAAATTGTTTACTCGGTTAAATCTCATTATTCTATATTTGAAGTGGTTTAGAGAGTAATTGTGGAAGAACCAGTTAACCTAGTTGTACAATGAACAAAGTTGGAACTCACAACTTCTTTGGGCTGTGCCATTGGGTTTGAGTAACTACCTATTCTTTGTACTCTCTTATGTGTGATGAATTTTCAAGTTTCACATGTAGATAATATAAATGGGTGATGTTAAGCACGTGTGATTGTTGAGCTTCACATGTGAGCCAATCTGGTCCGATACCATGAAGAAAGTTGAGGTTCCACCATAAAATCAATTGGTAGTATAGGAAGTAATCCAACCATTTACAAGTCCTTGCATAATTTGGTCTTTCACCAATGTGAGACTTCGTTCTCACATTCTCACACGTATTAATAAAAATAATTCCAACCCCAACATATTAAGACAAATAATGTTTCTTACAATGTAGAAGCCTAATTAAAACGTAACATTAAATTTCAACACAAAACAAGCAAATAAAAACAATAAACGTGCAACTACACAAAAAAAAAAAAAAAAAGGTAGAAGCTAATTTACAAGCTCTTTCAGCTTCTGAACAAACCTATCGATATATCCACTCATAAACCCAGGAGTTGCTAACGTTTCCATCCACTTTGCATGGTTCTTCTTCACCATAACACCCACCTCACTCTCCTTATCCATCACACTTTTAATAGCTTTGCTCAAACTCTCCTTCGAAAACCACCCACTCTCTTCCCTCCCCACCTCCACAGCAACCTCGAGCTTTTTAACCAGCAATTTGGTGTTCAAGATTTGGTCACCAAGATGTGGAACCAGCACAATCTGTTTGTCACTCATCAAAGACTCCCACATTGATCCAAACCCACAATGGTTCACAAAGCACCCAACTGCTGGGTGGTTCAAAATCAATGTCTGCTGCACCCAGCTCCCAACCACCACCCCTCTCCCTTTAACCCTCTCTTCAAACCCTTCCGGCAATGCCTCTTCAATTGTCTCGCAACCCAACGGCGGTTTCAGAGCCACAAAAAATGGCAACCCAGTTAGCTCAAACCCTAACACGAGCTCTTGAAATTGGCTTTTTTCGAGAACCCATTGGCTCCCGAATGCGCAAAACACCACAGATCCAGCCTCAAACCCAGCAAACCACTTCGCCCACCGGTCCTCTAATTGTTCAGTGTTGTTATCGGATCCCAGACCCAAAACAGGACCGGTTAAAAGCACCGGCCTCTTATACTGATCTTCCATATAGTCACACATATCACCCTCCAGCTCTCTGCACGTTCTAATGGACAAAGCGTCACATTCTTTCATACAAATTATGGTCCGATCGTAAAATCTGATCCCGTCCCCAAACGGCTCCGTTATGAACGTCAACGACCGGGCCTCGTGTCCTTGGAGAACCACAGTCGTTGACGGGTACCCAGCAGGTGGGACCCCTAGCTCCTTCGCGGTAATAGGCCGGTCCTTGGGGACCTGACGCGCTGGGACAAGCGCAATAGCGAGAGCCGCAGCGCATACAACATTGTAACAAACGGACTTGATGCCGTTTTTCCTCGCAATCTCCGGCACCCAATGTGCAGCATCGTACAATACAAAGTCGGGTTTGTTTGCGCTCAGGAAGTGTTCGATTTGGTCGCGTGTGAGGTCCATTGCAGCGGCAAGAAAATGGATGTTGTGAATGGGGATTTCCGAGGCGATTTCGGTGCCCTCAGGGAGGCCGTTGAAGTGGGGGACGGTGACTGGAGAGAGGTGATGAGGTTAGGGTGGTGGTTGAGATGTTCGAGCTGAAGGATAGCTTTCTTGGGCACCAAGAGAGTGACTCTATGGCCTCTGGCAGCGAGCTCGTTGGAGAGGTGAACGTATGGGGTGATGTGGCCCATGGCAAGCCATGGGAACATGGCTAAGTGAAAGCTTGAGGGTTCTGCCATTTTTAGGGTTAGACGGCTAGCTCTCTAGCTCTTGGAAAGTATGGTGAACTACAGTTCGCATGCAGTGAGATCTTGTTTGATGTTACCTCGTTTGTTTGGTCAAAATCTCAGATTTATTTGCAAAATTTGTCGGATCGTTGGTTATAAGCGTTTATGTTTGTTGGCAACCACGCGAAAGTTGGTAAAAACTTTGGCCCAATTGCTACAAATAACTCGACTTGTTTCTAAAGGGAAACGTTGAAATTTTCAAAGACTGCATTGGTTACTAACTTACTATGCGTGTACGAATTTGTTCAAGTAACAACTTGGTGAAACAAAGAGTTGACCAAAACAAGTTCTTGGTTTCGATGAAAATTAAACTTCAGTTACCCCTTCTTTAGATTTCTTTTATAAAAAAATGTTACTCTTGTTACATTTTTCATACCATATTTGTATCACCTTTCTAATATAACTGAGAATCACATATGTTGGTGGGTCTTATCTTTATAAGAAAGATAGTACAAATTTAATAAGTGTAGCATTACTCGTCTTTTATAAAATTTACGATGTTACTTGTCATATCCGTTTTATTATTTAATTTAGTGGTGAATTCTAATCCAAAAAACAAGGCACCTCTTTTTTCTAAAGCAATAATGAAGATCACGGATCAATACTTGTGGTTGCGGAAGTTGTATAGGAACCTCAGACATTATTTTCTTCCGACATCAAACGTGTCTGCATATACATGCAAGTTTGACGTATAATCAACATCTAATGAGAAGTGGTAATTACGCATCAAATGGTATATAAATGTGCTACGAAAATATAGTTTCCCTGGCAACATATTGTAGTAATCTCCTTACCATTAACGTACTTTTCTGTGTATGATTAGGATCGGTTGTTAATATTAGTATCAATTAATGTCGCGGAGTCCGTGATATTTGTTAGGATAATCAAGCTCCTCATCAGTAACTAATCATATTTCAGAAGCATGGCTATTGGCCAAGAATGATCTCTGCACGCCGTGGCTAGAGTCAGCAGATTGAAGAGCATGAGTCTTGCACCGTGAAAGTAAAGTAATTAAGGTTACCATCCGTTATTGTTCTTGGTTTAAGCTAGTCAACTCTATCTCCCCATGGAAATTGGAAGGGAATTTTGAAGCTGATGGGCTTAGAACTGTGACCTAACACTTGATCTGGGTTGAACATTTTTGGACTCTCATCCCTTTTCATTACTTTGAGCCATCTTGAAGATTGTATTGGGGTTACTAGGCCTGTCATGTAATTAGATTCACACTTCAAATAAATAACAAAAAATAACAAATTCCATACGGAGTATTGTACATTGCCATAATCAATACTATTGTAAATACACAGCCTACTTGTCTAACAGACATCGACAGTTTGCACATTTGAATAACAGATAACGTTACGAACATCATATCAACAAGGATAATTACTTGTCTAACAGACATCGACAACTTGCATATTTGAATAACAGACAACGTTATGAACATCATATCAACAAGGATAATGCTAGGAAGACCAAATTTTTTAAACCAAATTTGCAAACCAAATGATGTGATTGTTGATTATTGAATCATTACTTAAGTATTAATTGAGGTGCTTATTTCTTATTGGTGACACATCATTTTGTTTATAAATTTGATTTAAAATTTTGGTCTCCCTAGTATTACCCAATCAACAATATCTATTATATATATATATGAGTGTTTTAGACTGTCACTTATTCCGCCTCAATCATCATGTCAATCCTTTTTTTTTCACAAACGATAAGATAATCTGCACTAATTTCATCTAAACTACAAAAATGAAAATTCGATCTTGAATACATAGGATAATCTACACTAAGTTCAAATACGCATGTCAATCTCTAAAACGGCCAATTTCCATATTATTTTGTTTGTCAGAGAGAAGTGTTTTCTTTGTATTTATTTTGACACCTAGTACCTTAGCTGTCATAAATATTATACGCAAAAACATCATGTGCATCTCTCTATAAACAAAAGTTCACCACATGGAGAGTGTGCTGGCATGGCATCGACCCTGTCATTGACATAAGTTGTTGACCCTTCTCCATATCTCTTAGTTGTATGAACTTAAGTGCCACGCTCCCTGCTTTGAAATCTTATCTCGTCTCTCCACTTAGCGCACATCATGGTTCCTCTCTGTCCAAATGCATGTATTTCCATATTAAAATATGCTTTTATCCCGAAAATTATGTCTTACAAGAACATGGTTCCAAGCCCCCACATGGCTTCCCAAGTCAGCCCACAGCTAGCTGTGTTAGATCATAATTTATTTTTTTTAATTTTTTATATATAACTATTTTGCAGCTTAATTTAAAGGCCAAAATATGGGTGTCTTTTACTGGTTGAAATCCGAGAGGAACTACTTTTGTGTGGAGCCATGGAGCCTGTTGGTGATGACCCAAGTAGGAAAGAAGACAACGTGGAAGAAGCCAATGATCTTTTGGAAGAATGTTGGTTTTTTGATAACTTGCTCAACAGGAAACAGAAGATGCTAAGGTGTCTTTCTGATCCTCATAGCAACTCATCAGATTTTGGCCAAGAAATGTCAGTGGAGATGAATAAGGCCACAGAAGGCGGTGGATTTTCCGATCCAAATTTGGTTCGGACACCGTCCTTGCCGCTTCATATAGGGAGGCAGGAGAATGTTCAAGTGAAGCAAAGTGGTGGTAAGAGTGGCGTGAGAAAATTGACAAGGCAAACGTCGCATCAGAAGATGCTGCAGACAACAACGTCCCAACCGCCGGTTTGTATTGGGAGGAGGACAGAAGGAGTTCAGGATAAAGAAAGTGATATCAGAAGAAGTAAAGTAAATGGGCAACCGGTGCGTCACAATTTGCTCAGGACACCCTCCTTGCCACCATGCCTAGGAAGAGAAGAGAGAAACCAAGAAAGTGTTCCACAAAGACACAAGGTACTAGCTAGCTATGACCATTATGTTTTTAGTTTTTACTTTAAAAACATACTTTAATCATAATTATGGATTAATAGTTTGAGAAAAATCTCCTTGCACTCCTCTGATTCACTTGCTTATACATTTATAGATAGTAACTTTTCTGGAGCATCAATAACAGCTCACTATTAAGAAAACAACGGTATAGTTAATCGGTCGTTATCTTACAATGTTCTTACGTTTGTTTATTGCAGGGGCTCATGACACAATGTTCTAGCATTCCAAGATATAGACCCCCAAAAACCACAGAAGGGGAAAGCAATATGATTAGTACGGATGGAATTAAGGAAATGAGGCGCCGATGCCCTAATCAACTGACGACGAGAAAGAGCCTAAGTGATCTTGAAATTGAAGAACTGCAAGGGTTCAAGGACTTGGGGTTCACATTTGACAAGGAAGAGTTGACCCCTAGTGTGGTGAACATACTTCCTGGGTTGCAAGACAAGAAGAGAAGTGAAGATTTGAACCCGGCACATGTTAGGAGGCCTTATCTTTCTGAGGTGTGGCTGGCGCAAAGCTGCGCAGCCCCGCCACCTCCAAATTTGGGTGCAACTCAGTCTGCTGAAGACATGAAGGCACAGATCAAGTTCTGGGCTAGATCTGTGGCTTCTAATGTGCGCTAGGGAATTTTATTTTGTGATATTTAACTTGATTTACATACCGATCGATTATGTAGTCTGATTGTATTAAAAATGGTAACATCCAGTAATCCATTCAAACCAATTAATCCAACACAATTTGATTCGCTTCAATAACTTTGATGATCTGATTGGATCATCAAATTCAAAAATCTGTGTGAGATAGAGAGAGGGAGAGGGAGTTGCAATTGTCTAGTCTCAATGATCCGCTCTCATGTGATACTCGAGTTTCTATTGTATTATTTCACTTGATATGTATTATTTGTCATTTTTATTTTGTGAAATACTTTTTCAAAAACTGTTTGTAAAAATGATACCAAATCAGCCAAAATGTTTCTAATTTTACATTTATAGTCATCTCTGTATTTATAGAAAGACCATCTACTTGAACCATATTTTGTAGACCATTAATATGATGATTAATTGTGGACTTCCTATTTAAATAATTAAAGACATAATTTTGATGATCCGATTGGATCATCAAATTCAATAATTTTGATGATTCAATCGGATCATCAAATTCAAAAATCATGTGTGAGATAGAGAGAGGGAGATGGAGTTGCTGTTGTCTAATATCAATGATCCGCTCTCATGTGATACTCAAGTTTCTATTGTATTATTTCACTTGATATGTATTATATGCCGTTTTTATTTTGCGAAATAGTTTTTCAAAAACTGTTTGTAAAACATTGCCAATGAGAGGCTAAATGTTTCTAATTTTACATTTATAGTCATTTCTGTTCATAGAAAGATCATCTACTTGAACTATATTTTGTAAACAACATAATGTGGCAGTTAATTGTGGACTTCCTATTTAAATAATTAAGGCATAATCTAACTATCAACCGTCACATCATATAGTTTACAAAATATGATCTAAAAACATGGTTTGTCTTGCATTTTTCTCCTTTTCAACCACATTTTGTTGACGGTTAGGCTTCCTTCTTAAATTCTTTAAAACATGAAGTCTTACTTTATCGTCAAGTCATCTAATGTACAAAATATAATTTTAAAAGATGATCTCCTTAGCTTCTTTTTTTTTCTTTTTTTCTTTTTTTGTTTGTAAATAAAACCTTAGAAAAAGAGACGGCTTGCAATGTACACATGAAATGTGGTTCAAAATCTGGGGGGATAACCAGATAACGGAGATTTTTCAAAAGCCCCACCAAAATCTTTGATTGACGAGATAGAAAAAATCCAAAAATCTGGGGTGATAACTGAACTCCTCAGCAGCTTCGCTCTCTCTCCCTATCTAAAATCCATCAAATGTTGCAGACCCAACACCTTCTCCGTTCCAATTTCCCCAAATTTCTCTCTCATCCCCATACCCACTTTGTCTCTCCTCTCTATCTCTCTCCCCCTCCACTCAATTTTTTCCACAAACCCACCAATCTCTGCCCTGTCTCAGCCCATTCCAGACCCGGCCTCGAACAATGTCTAGCCGAAGCTCCAGAACCGACGACCGAAACTCCATACACACCCTTGGAATTTGCTCCAGACGGTCCCGAAGAATTGCCACCGTCTTCTTCTCCAGTGTTTGCCACCAATGATGACCCTTCATCTCTCCAAGTGGCCACCAGTGTTCTTCTCACCGGGGCCATCACTGTCTTCCTCTTTCGCTCCCTGCGACGCCGCGCCAAGCGTGCTAAAGAACTGGTAAAGATTGTAGCTTTATTTTCATTTATGTCTACAAATTACTGTTTTTCTGTTTTGGTATTGCTGAAGTTTGGAATTTTAGGAATTGGGTTTTGGTGGGAATTCCTTTTATTTTCAATTACAAGTTTTTTCTGGGATTTTGGAGAATGATTTTTAATTCTATTACAAGCAAAATTACCACTCTTAAGTCACACCAATGTGAGGGAGAGGGTTAGAATCCAGAACGTTGTTGGTTGAAGACGAAGCCATATCCACCAGGGCAATCCACCACTTGTCCGGAATGATGTTCATTGACTATATGTACTTAAATATTACAAGATAATGTGCCATTGTGGTTAATTTTGGATATTGAGAAATTGGGATACAATTTTCCATTCAATTTAATTACAAATTTTTATGTGTTAGAGTGAGCCAATTTGTGGGTTTGATAGAGTGATTTGGGTGCCTAGAAATTTAGGTCATCTGGAATGAAGAAGTCCTTGAAGGATGAGGCTTTGGATAGCTTGAAAGCACTTTCTACAGGTTCTGTTGAAGCAAAGGGTCCACCCTCACCTGTTCAGGCCTTGCTGGGTGGAATATCAGCCGGTGTCATTGCGCTTATTCTTTACAAGTTCACTACTACAATTGAAGCATCTCTCACCGCCAAACTATTTCTGATAATTTCTCGGTTAGTCCCTTCAGTGCTCATGTCCTTAATCTTCGGTTCTAGCCATATTCGTGTTTAACTAACGCAATGGTTCGTTATGAGTTTTCTGACACTGGCAGTTACTCTCAATTTCCATAGAGAAAACAATAGGTCGTACCCAGTGCACAAGGCTCCCGCTTTACGCAGGGTCTGGGAGAGGTGAATGTCGGCTAGCCTTACCCCCATTTATGGAGAGGCTGCTCCCAAGTCTCGAACCCGAGACCTACCGCTCATGGGCGAAGGCACTTACCATCGCACCAAGAAAACAATTATACAAATAAATTCTCTTGCACTTTAACCGCCTCTTAATTTATGTTGCTTCATTTCTTGTATGCTGGGATTAGCCAGTGTACTCTGAATCCACTGGGAATAAAACGGTAGGATTAAGAATTCAAGTGAATACCAAAGGGGCTGTTAAATTCTTAGATTGGGCTATGACCGGTGATATCATACTCAACTTGAACCATGAAATGTTCTTACTCTTTGTTTGCTATGTAATGTGGTGGTAGAAAATTGTACTCAAGATACTCATCCTCTTTTCTGAACAATCTACTTGTTTTGTACTTTTCAGGTTCGTCAGATTACAATAACCATCAGGTAGCTCTTACTACTAACTCCTTCCGGTTTTCTTTGCTTTTAATTAATCGGAAGAATGATCACCTTTAATCTTCTGTTGGCAGGACCATTATAAATGGGTTGTGCTACCTTGCAACATTTGTGTTCGGCATCAATGCTGTGGGTTTAGTCCTTTATGCTGGTCAGCTCGCCATCAACTCCATCATGGAAGATACAAATGAAAAAACTCAGACTCAAGGTAAGGATCAGTCAGGCTCATTCAATTCAAAGGTTGAGAGCCCCGCAAATAGTGGTGAGAACAGCGATAGGGATGATCAAAGTTCAGATGGAACACAATAGAGTAGAAACCAACATTGACGCAAAAGCATCGTTTTTTATCATTTCAACTTACTTCACCGTAAATGTATCTTTGAATGAAATCTGTGCCATTTCTCACCCTGTCATTTTTTGTGATCAAAGATGCAATGGTTCATAGCTGCCATTAATGTTTGTGTATCTTTGCTCATTTATTTTGATAGAAAGGAGAAAACGAGAGTGTGAAAATCACTCTCCTATGCTAAAAAGTGTAAGAATGATTACAATTACAAAATCACCAAATTGCATCATGTCAAAGTTTGCTACGAAAATTTTAAGATAAGAATTAGAATACAAAACATGTGATTTTCCAAACCTCCCCCCCCCCCCTCCTCTCTCTCTCTCTCTCTCTCTCGTGTTAATACTTGAAAATCTTATCATAGAGTTTAACTTGTTGCCTCTGAATTTAATCTCGTAGTTGTTGGTGGTGCTTCTTGAGTTGTGCTTCCATGCATATGTGATCTTTCATGTTGCTCAGTGGCCCTTTCTATTCTGTGGTTTTCTTCACCAATTTTCCTTATCATATTATCACGGCTCCCAACTGATCGGAACTGATGCAATGGAGTGGAATTTGAATCAAGTCTGTACAAAACCAACACCATAGTCACTGAACAAACAAACATTGGAATTGGACCGAAAATCCAGAGCAACAAAGTAGTGGCAAGGTAGATAGCCCTGAGCCCCAATGTCCAGAACAAGCCTCCACTTATCACCACCTTCTCGACATGCTCCTGAGGAATATCACTGTCTGGCATACTGATGAGGAAATTGGCATGGACATAGTCCCTTATGCAATGTAAAAAAGAAGCTAAGGCCAGCAGGAAGCAGGTCAGAATGCTAATATATTTGACTGAAACTAGCGCAGGACTTGTGTCGCCGTATGTAATACTGCTCGTGAAGGTGTTGTGCGAAGTGTTTCCAATCCATGCTCCGATGAGAGAGCTTAAGGCTAGAGAGGTTGAGGCTAAGCAATTTGCTGCTGTTATGGTGCTAGAGATTACAGTTAGGGACATACCTCTGTCCTTTGCATCAACCTGCAATTAATTAAAGACCAAATAGAGTTAATTGACTCTGTTTTCTCTTGCCGGACTTTGTTGTTAGAAAAACGCTTATATTGTCAGACTGTAAATCTGCACCCGACATTCTAAGAAAAGTGAAGACTAGAAAGTGAAGTCTTATAAACATACCTGCAACATTCTCTCAACCCAAGCTTTTCTGCAGTGGTTTTCATTGCCAATGACTGTAGTTTCAGGATGTCTTAGGTACCTATACAGAAGGAGAAGATGGTAGCAAAGCATGATTAGCAGCCCAGTTGGAACCAAGATTAAATCCAAGTATTCCTTCTTCCAAACCATTCTCTCTCTCTCTCTCTCTCTCTCTCTCTCTCTCTCTCTCTCTCTCTCTCTCTCTACTAAAATGAACAAATTAATTATTGGGTTAGGTTGGTCTTTTAAATTTTAATCAAGGAGGCTTTAGTTTTGTGTAGTGGATTTGGTAGATAAAATTGGCTTTAGTTTTGAAGATGACCGACCTTTTAATTAAAAAAAATTAATGTTTACAACTTATATATAAAACACGAGTCAGAAAAAAAAAAGAAAAAAAAAAGACAAGAAATACCATGCAACATATACATTTGCTTAACAATTTCACATGGAAATGGAAGTTGTACGCGCTTATAAGGCTACAAAATTTGGTTCACAATTCACAATTTTGCCACATGGTAAGCCATCTCGGATTTGGTTGATTTTTAGTAGAGTAGATATTTAAAGAGTGATCTAGACCATCCTGCAATATTGCTAAATGAGAAAAAGAGTCAAGAAGGTAGAACAAGAAAATTCAAGTAAGTAGTTGTTAGCATTTCTCATCTAAGTGAATTGAAGCAAGAGACTTTCTCTAACAAAATAGAAACATGAAGGATATGGATTTGGTTTGAAGGACAAGCATGTCGAATTATCAGAGAGACGGACTAAGGGTCCACTCCCAACAATATCAATATTGTCTCTAACTTGGTAATTACCACTAGCACAATCC